CAAAGGCTACTGTTTAAAAAGAAAGGATGTAGCCCTTGGGCTGAAAAAGAAAACAAAATCCACGACAAAAGCCAGCTATCGGTTCCAGAAGATATGCACATCTCCAATTATGGGCCATGTTCAACTGAACCCCAGATGCTGTATAGCACTGGGGGTGGGGGGGCACTCAGCACCTCTTGGCACAATTCTGTGCAAAATAAATAAATAAGGTGCCAAAATGTTGTTCTTGCCAAGTTCATTTATTTTAGAAATGAATAAATAAACGATGTTGTTCTCTGCTTCAAAAAGAAGTCAGCAGGCTAAAATGGTTCTCGTACAACGATCCTCAGGCTAGAAGCAGACTGTAAAAAAATATAAATATCTAAAATGTACTAACCAATAAGATATAGTTAGGTACATGTCTTATATTAATTGTATTTCAATATTCCCAGGATAGCCTCATCTCATCAGATCCCAGAAGCTAAGCAGGGTCGGCCCTGGTTAGTATTAGATGGGAGACCACCAAGGAAGACCAGGGTTGTTTCGCAGAGGCAGGCAAGGGCAAACGACCGCTGAAAAAAATCTATGTGGGTCGCCGTCAATCAGCTGTGAGTTGATGCCACTCTCCACCACCAATATTACCAGCCATGCAACTGGCTGCATTTCCATCACTCGGATTAATTTTACCATTATTCTTTCCCGGGGGGGGGGGATAGACAGAAATAATAGTTTACTCAACATAAATATTTAAGATTATTTTTCAGATTGCCTCCATGCTTGTGACTGTTCAGTACAACGACAGAAAAGAGCTTCCTGCCATCCTTTTTCTTTTCTTTTTTCGCAAGTTGTGGAGCCAAACCGTGTTACCTGAAAAGGCAGAAATAAGCAAGATTTGGTACTAACTTTTAATGAACTTCCGGAGATCTGCCTTCTCCTCCAGTCGGGTCTGCAGGTTCAAGAATTCTCGGTATCTCCGGTTCACTGTGTGGTACGCCACCTGCTGGACACTGCTGGTGTTCTCACTATCCAATGTTGTCTCGTACTGTCAAAGGCAAAGGGGGTGATACTCAGCCTTGGAACGCAAATAACTTTCTACTGTTTTACCAGAAACTGTATAAAAGGCATAGAAGGCACAAGAGTTTTAGAGGAAGAACTACAGAGTTCCCCTTAAAAATGGCGGCCTGCATCTCAGAGAGGCTCACAGTTTACCCATTCAAGATGGAAACCACCTGCCAACTGCAAGCCCCACCAGGCAAGGGGTTTGAACCCTTTTCTGAAACATGGGGCAGATGCCACATTGGGGAACAGTACTCAGAAGAGCCACAAATGGCATGTCAAATAGCCATTCTTTAAAAAGAAGAGCCCTGCTGGATCAGAGCAGTGGTCCATCTAGTCCAGCATCCTGTCTCACACAGCGGTCAACCAGTTCCTCTGGATGACCGACAACAGGACATAGAGGCCAAGACCTTCTCCTGATGTTGCCTCCTGGCTCTGGGATTCAGAGGCTTAGTGTCTCTGAACGTGGAGGTTCCCCTCAGTCACCATGGCTAGTAGCCATTGACAGACTTATCCTCCATGAATCTATCTAATCCCTTTTTAAAGATTATTCCAGAAGGCAGGTGTAATGATACCTGATGAAGTAACTTATTTATTGTCTTATATGTCAATAAAGGCGTTGTTGTAAGCTTATTCCTGTGGCCCTCACTACATCCTCTCTGGCAGAGAATTCCACATTTGACTCACTCTCTGTGTAAAGTAGTATTTCCTTTCATCCACCCTGAAGCTACTGCCCATCAGCTTCCTTAGGAGGACATCACTGATTTAAAAATTACAAACAATCCACGTTTCACTGTCATATTGATAAGGTAGAATCTACTTAACAACATATGAACCTACCCACTCATTCCCGTCATCTTTGGAAGCTCTGCTTCAGTTGCCCTCGCCATCTCAAGCCAGATGTGTGACGACCCGCGAAAGGGCCTTCTCAGTTATGGGACCGAAACTTTGGAACTCCTTCCCTCCCAGAGACATTCATCGGTCTCCCTCTATCAATGTCTTTAGCCAGTAGGTTATGGCTTTTTTGCTTCATCTGGCATAAATATGTTTTGAGTAAATAAAACCAATACCATCTGCCTACCCATTCATAACATGAACAGAGGAACTATTGGGTTACCTTGACCGTATACAAGGTGTACGGGTGGAACCCCGTCCCGCTGTGCTCTCGGGCGGTGATGGTGCCGGTTATCCGCAGGTTCTGGATGACAACCGGGCCATCCGGGCTACTTAGCGGCTCAAAGCTGAAGGTGCCCATGGGTGCAGTGGGAGAAGAGGACAGCAAGCTCGGCAGATCCTGAGGGCTGTGGGCTAGGCCTTCAGAAGACACCAAGTCTCTCTCCAAGTAGGACGGCCGCCTCAAGAAGGACTTCTGCGAGTCCTCCAGAAGAGCCGCCAGGGAAGCGAAGGTCTCCTCCTTGTCCGCGGCTGGTTCGATCAGGATGTCAGGGCACGGGCTGAGAGAGGGGCTCCGCGACCTACAGCCATGACCGTTGTCTAAGAACCTGCTTCTGATTCCCGCCCCGCCTTCCTGATCCAAGCGGTCGGGCCCTTCCAGAGCGCCGAGGGAGTCTGTGAGGAATTCCTCTGTGGACATCAGGACCACGGAGCCGGAGTCCCTTCCTACGTCCGACATGGGGGATTCTATGTCCAGGTACTCACAGGGGAAGAAGGACCCCAAAGGATCTGGCTGGAGGCTGGATGCAGATGTGCTGCTGGCTCTCCTCCCATCAACTTCGGCACTCAGCTCCCTGCTGATGGGTTCTTTCCTTTCCAGTTGATGGTACTCCAAAGCATCCATCGTGTCGTAGACTGAAGATTCCGAACCTCTGGGAGATAGCATCCGTACCTCTGGGATGGTGTCCAACGGAAATGGGAGTGGCAATGAACTGGGCACCACGGGGTGAGGCGGGGAAAGGGCAGGGCC